TAATTATAGTTAATTTATAGTCTACCGTTTTATACATGAGCCTCTGGCTTGGGCAATTGGGCAACCATGCCTCACGTTAGACAATAAACTTTGATTGATTGATTGATTGATTGAAAGCTTGATCTAAATTAGAAAATGAATAGTAGTCATGGTTAAGCTTGACAGAGGTTTGATCAACTTGACCAGGTCAGAAGTGTTGTAATGACAGTCATTGTGGACATAAGTATGAACTTTGCAATGTCATAACCATCTTCTTCATTGATAAAAACTATTTTTTGTTCTCAAAGAATTTGTAGGACTGTAATCATTCATTGCATCTCTTGACTGTCTAATTTTGCAGAAAGACAAAAGATACTTGATTCTGGAATGTGTTCCAGAAGAACGAAACAGATTGCTCAAAAATTACATTGATGAATTGTTCAGAACTGGACCACCCCCTCCTCCTACAGCTTCTGCACCATCAAACAGATCCAAAATGCATTGAGATAGAGCACAAGAACTGCACAATGAAAAGTGACTTTTGCTCTCTGTCATGTCAAGGATGTTGGCCTGAATTTCATCACAAAATACCCTCGATACTTTTATTCAGTTAACACATAAAACTCAAAATAGGTGGTTTATTCAACCAGCCATGTTTTATTTAGAGTTAGAGTGGAAGGGTGACTCCACCCTTCCCCTTCTTCCTTTTGACCTCTTCCCCACCCTTTGGTACAAATTTCTTTCTTTTTCTAGCCTTTACTTACTACAAAAATCACAGATGGATGCAGCTATAATTTTCACAAAGAAATGACTAAGCATTTGCTGGACAAAATTACACCTGTTCAGCAAGCTAACCTTTTCTTTTCACAAGCTATGATACGATATATACAATGTACTTGCATCCATCCATACATATGTATGCGCCAATAGAAATTGCAAAACACAACCATCTTTATGGCTAACCCAAATACGGTATAATGTACATGTGGCTTGTAAAACTGCATATTAAGGTTGTTTTGAGTTGTGCTGGCAATCTTTAAGACAATTCTAATTTAAGAGTGTTTTTTAACCGAGTTGCCTTTCAAGAAGAGATGTTTTACAAGCATTTTGGCCTGTTTTGATTGATTTTTCCAGCATTGTTTTGAGGTAAAGGGCAGCATTCTAGTTGGGACTGAAGAGAGATGTTCAGCATTGCTTTTTATAACTTGTGCCTTCCTCTTTGCTCTCTGTCCATAATATTGTAAATTTTACAATCAACTCTGAAGATCCCTCATATGTAGAAGAGTCAGTTACAGAGTAAATTTCTTTAGGTAGAGTTTTTACCAAATTTTCACATAAAAAAAATGCAAGAAAGTAGGAAAGAGCTCTTTTCCGTCTTATTTGCTCATATCTTGGACATATAAGTCAAAAATCTTAATTAAACTTTTGAGATTATATCCACTTTTTTTTCTTTAGTTATTGTTATGATCCTTTGATATGCATTTTAAACCTGTCTTTAAGCTGAGAGCTTCAATTTTGGTACAAGTTTTAACTCTGTATCTCCTAGAAGTGATTAACCTGTAAATTCTCCCCATGATAACCACACATTATCCAGCAAATAGGTATTGAGAATACATAAACTTATCAGGTAGAAGTGGTCACTTGATCTAACAGCAATGTCATTACTATATTGAAAGGAAATATGTAACAGCTATGGGAGAGAATTTACAATCACATCTTTGAAGTTGATAGCTTAGGTGTTGCTTCTCAGTTTGTTCATCATTCTCTGTTGTCCTTTTGCAATTTCCATTCTATCTTGTAAAGTCTAGATCTTCACCCTTTCTTGTAGAGTGTGATAATAAAAAATTCTTCTAAACAAGTAATTTTGTTTTTCTTTTTGGTCTTGGGATAATTTAAATTATTAAACACTGGATCATTGGATAATGCAATTCAAGACTTTTTATTGGCTTAGCCATTATGGTATATGAGCCAATATACCGTAATCTACAAATATGGTAAGTGTACGCATTAGTTTAAAATCAAAAGGGAGCTAAAAAATCCAGTTTCTTCTCACAAAATAATAATTTCTTGAGGGTGTTTTTAATAAAAACAATTATTCCACTCGCGCTTGTTGGATATGAGATGATTAACTATCATCTCGTATCCAACGCGTGCTCGTGGAATAATTGTTAAATGTACTTGCCACATTATGTTGTTCATCTGCTTCACAGTCACTTCTGGCCATGTTCTCAGAAAACCTTGTTAACCTTTAGAACAAGGAAGTGGCTTTGGTTGTGAGTTAAGGGTCCAAGTATTTTTTTTTTTTTCACAGTTCAAGACTGTCTTCCCAAAACAGCAAGAAGTTAAGACTGCATGAGGGCATTTTTAACTTTATTCAGATAAAAAATAAATTGGATTTGTACAATTGTCTTCTCCATTGAAGGAAAACAACTGTCTCCCATGCTCATACACGGTCTTTTACTAATGACAATTACACAAGTGTATAATGTTTCTCAAGATGAAAATTTTCCATTTCCTTGAATGACTGTCCTTGTTAAAACAATACCAATAATCTGTTATAGTATGCGGCTGTAGAAAGCCAGTTGTAGCTAGTGCTTGACTGAAGATACTGTGTGAGCCGTGGCTGGTTCCCCAGTGATGCAAGCGTGACCAGACATCTTATGTCAACTAATAACAAAATGAAAGTGCAACTATTTACACCATTCTATTACTGATTACATTTTTAGCAGTAAAATTGATAGTCAGTTAGACCTAAACAAAATAACTTGAGCCAGTGGTACAATATGATTCCCCTTGTTATTCCAAGAACAGCTTTAGTTAACAGAATCCTATTTCACACGACCATTTCAACTATTTTCTGTAAAATCCAAATTGCTTATCAGCTGTTTTCTTCAAGGACAGGTAGGAATAACTCATACCAATAAAGGAAATGGTCATGCCATATTACTTATTCAATACAACACATACCACTGAAGTCTTGTAAGACAAATAAAAGAAAATAATTAAAACAGCAAGGGGAATATTTATCTCGATCATTGGACTTAAAAAGAAAAATATTACTTCCTTATTTCCTATTGGTGGATGGGTCACCTGCATACATTATAAATCCAACTTTTCCAACTTCAAATGCCAAATATTTCCTGGATATAAATGCCAAATACTTTCCTGGACCATCCATATTTTCCCGCCATTTGAGGACAAAGCGTGTGGAACTTAATACATACAGATGACCAGCATAAAATTTTTCTTCTTTACATGAAATCTAAAAATTCTCAAGAACAGGCACTTCCACTGAATCAAGTTAACTATTATATTTGTAATGCTGTAAAAGAAAAAGATTTGAATAAGATTAAAACCCGATTTCTTAATGAGTCAGGTAATGGAACACAGTTCTTGGAAAAAATTATCCTAATGGCACTTTAAGTCTAGGAAAAAGGAACAAACTGCTCAATTTTTTTCTAATGAATATGTGGTCATTTCATGCCCATAAAAATGAAAATTTTATCAGTGAATGTCACTAAACCTCAGTAATACTGTAAAAAGAAACTTAAAACATTAAATTAAAAATCCACAATGTAACAAAAATGATAAGTGTGGGGAATATAACCACAACCTAGAAATCCTCAGTACAGATTATGACTAAGTTCCATTTAAAAGACTCTTACATAAAAGTTATCTACTAGCAGCAACACTACTACGTGGCTAATGTAATGAAAATATTTAAGTTCACAGATAGAAACTGGATGTGCTTTCGCTAAAATAATTTACCTGAAAGTAAATACCAACAATGCTTTGCATACAGTCAGAGCCTTTGTACTAACTGATACCACTAAATATTCAAATTGAATTTCTTAGAAATGAGAAAGCTTATTTAAATAACAACAATTATGAGGTGTCTGCTACCTGAACAGCTGAAAGCAAATACATAGATTCAGCTGGGTTTCATATAACCACTATGTTTCCCTTGGCAACAAATTCAACATACAGTGTAAACATAATTTTTTTGGAATATTTTTGGTGCTGGGATGAAATAGTAAAATTATTTTGGGCAAAATTAAATTATTTTTAAAATTTTATGTTTCCACTGCTTAGCTGCATTGAAAGCAGTTACATAATTTGAAAAAGAGAGATTCATTAAAATATTGCAAGTGCTCTGTGAAAGATATTCCATGTTTGTTCTTTTGTACGATACATCTAGTCACACCTGAAAAAATTATGTAACTCAAATAATTTGTACCAACAGCAAATCCTATAGAAGGTGACTTGTTGGCAAAAAAACAACAACAACTACAGCAACAGACAGAAATATGTAGAAGAATTTTGATGAGAAGAAAATTGAACTCAGCTTTTGCTGATGGTACAAATTCAAGCTGTTAAAGTCAGGGGTTGTATAGTTTCTGAAAGTGGCATATAGAAACTGTGACCCCGATTATCATGACTGTAATAGTACCCTCTCTGTGGGCCTGGCTGCCACTGCTGGATTCCCTGTGCAGGACAACTGTGGGGCCGTTCCCCAGTGAAGGTGTCATTGTAGGTTGTATTCATTGTCATCTCCCCACTTATTGGCTTGTGGGCTTCGTGACGGGCAGGTTTAGCTGGAGGTATATACTGTCCTCTGTAGTGACTCCGCATAGTGGATTCACCGTGGAATTTCCCAGATGGTGGCCTGTATTCATCTGGTCGGCCACTCTTCTGAGTTTCTTGTAACTCCCATGCCTTAAATGCATCTTTATGCGTCGTACTGTCCTCAAAAGGCTTGCCAGATGCAAATGATGTGACTGGAGGTTTAGCACTTTCAGCTGGCGGTATATCCCACTTTGGGTAATCATGCTGAAAGGTGGTGTTGGTTAAAAACCTGGCTGTTGGTGGTCTGTAGGCTTCCTTTGGTCGTACTTCACGCTTAGGAATTGTCCATCGCCTGTAGGTCACACCGGTGGTGGTGTCCCCTTTGAATGGCTTATTTGACTTGATGACATCCTGAATTGGCTTGAAACTAGAAGCGGGCCTCCCACCTCTGTAGGCAAAATCATCCATGAATGTGGTATTTCCTCTGAAAGGTTGGCTGGTGGTGGGGCGTTTTTCAACAGGTTTCGCTGATTCAGCTGGGAGAACCTGTTTCCTGGTGTAATCAAGCCTAGTAGTTGTGTCGCTCTCCATAGGACCCTTATTCACGCGGATTTCTGTGTCTGGTGGCCGGATTTGCGGACGTCTTCCCAAAAAGTACCCCGGATAGTCGGTTTGAAAGACGGTTTTACCATCCATTTTGCCATCTCGAGCTGCCGGCGTGGCATCTGGTTTCATACTTTCCATCTTGCACAGCCTTAAATCCCAAGGCCTGTAGGTGTCTTGATGGACTGTACTGCTGTCAAACGGACTCTCATGAGCATGAAACGTTGCCAGTGGCTTAGCAGATGTAGCGGGAGGGACCACAGTTCCGGGATAGTCATGTTTGTAGCTGCTTTCACCAGCCATCTGCCCTTGCGGTTTTATGTACGGGGCCTTTCCGCGTTTAGTTGGCGGAGCATACGAATGAGGAACATAATCAGTCGAATAATTTGTTTTTTCGTCCATTGGCTGGGACGAGCTTTTTACAGTGTATTCTGGTTTGAACGGTAATCTACGGTCGAGAGGATGTCTTTTGTAGCGATCTTGATACTCTGTAAATCGACATGGATGAACTGGAGTCTTTGTTTCGGGTCTGTGGGCGCATCGATGCCTCCTAAATGTTGAAAAATAAAATACTTGTAAACTTTAAATCCTTTAATAATTCTACTGAACGCTTCGATTACAAACATATCCTCGTGTTCATAAAACCAAAAGTCATTGAAAACACGCCGCGATGATTGAAAGCAATGGGCGAAACAGATTCATCGATGATAAATAGGAAATGAAAATTAAAAATATTTCACTTACCCACAGGTACAGATCTGACAGATACAAAGTGTCTTGACCATTTTGAAAGTCTCTCCTATTTCATTCGCAAGTAATCACAGCAAATAGATCGGGTCAAACCACAAAACTCATCTCTCTTCGCTTCCATCCGACAAGTTGTTTACTGCCGTTGCCATTGCCATTGCCGCGTCTGTTGCCACGCGCGCAAGTGAACCTGGTTGATAACAATGGCCATTGTAATAACGAGCTATGATTGGCTAATTGGATTTTAATTAGTGACACATGCAAAATTGGAGAGTATCTTTCTTTTAATTCATGAAAATTCTATAATTTTTTGCAACGTGTCGTCTTTTAAAGTCCAATATCTTTAACACATGGCTTATGGATCGAATCCTTAAATACTCGCACTCGAAAGCGTTCTTTGTTATTTTGCAAGCCGGAAAGCCAATACATATAATGTCTGTAGATGTCATTTTGTGGAAATTTATTTACTAAGTAATGGCCAAACCGCCGGAGGCAAACGGTCAACCAAGCTTTGCCTAGCAATAATAATTGAGAGAAACTCCTAAATTTTTGGATTTTGATTATCTATGCTTAGCAATCAGAAACGTCTAGATTGTTCCGAATAAACGTTTTAGACTTGGGAAATGCCAAAACTTAACACAGTTCGGGTATGACAAAATGAAAAAAAAAAAAACGGATTAACTCCTGATGAAGTTAATCCCATGACTGTCAGTCTGTTGACCAAGTTTTTCGTCTCTGTATTTTCTCACTCCACAAATTTTCATTCTCGTTTCTTTTTAGATGAATTTCCCCACACTAATCGATAGGCACACAAGGCGACAAAAACAAATTTAGAGTTGAACACCAAACAAGGGATTGAACGTGAAATTCTCGACGTTGCCATCACAAATTTTAAAATGAAGTAATGTTGCGGAGGGCCGGAAGAGTTCTCGGCGCCATGTAGAAGCGGCCTGTACCGAATGCGGTTTGTTCAGCCAGTATATTCAAACAACCAGCGTGCAGCCGGTACATTCGCAAAATGTTTACACTCATTTTAACGAGTATTTGCTGTGGAAACACACAAGGAAACAACCTTTCCAATTAATTTAAAGGCAAGAAAGCAGACCTTCGGAGAAAAAAATCGAGAACAATTACATCTAAATATAACAATTACATCTAAATCGACAAATTTTCTTCCTTGAGCTTATTGTAAATCAAACGTTCATCTAAATTAAAGAACGAAAGTTGACCTTTAAGAAAAGATTGAATTGAATTTGTTGAGGAAACAGAAGGAAGCGGAGTAAAGAATCTGGAAGGCCAAGGCGATGCTAGCTGCTTGCCGCAACCATACGATCTTGCGAGAAAGCGCAAGATATTGTCATGCATCCTGCTTCTATTGTTTAAAAGATGAGACAGAACAGTCGAGACCTATATTCTTTACAATAGCATTTCCGGCCTTTTCAATAAGTAATAAAAAATCGCTCGGGGTGTTTGTTTGATGACGGCAGTCGCTCAAGGAGACTGTCAATCGCCCCTGCCATCCCCCCTCCCCAAGAGAAAATATTGATCACAAGTTGTTTGCAATTTTGGCGGGAAAAGTTGCCCACCCGCGGCAAAACTTGTTAGCTCTTGATTATTTTTAGTCAACCTTTCGTTACATCGTAACAAAAAATTAAATTCATTTTAGCGTATTCTCGTAGGACATAGCGATACCAAAGAGCCTTAATGGTTTTTGAAAATATCTTTTTGCAGGTTGTGGTCGTTTGAGACGAGAATTATTTCATTCCGCGAGACGAAGCCTTCACAAATTCCTTTCAAAATATTTAGTCAAAGGTTCGCTAATTTTCAAGAGATGAGCGGACCAGTTTAAAGGCTACTGGGGAGGCATTTCCCTTCCACGAACAGATCCTAGTTAGATCAAGGAGTACAAATGCACTCAACCGAAGAAAACCAGTCAGCATTACAAGCATCAAAATGCCTATCAAGGCGGCAGCTGCATGCTGGACCCATAGCCTGGGAAGAAGTCCTAGAATATCCTCGAGAATGCAAAAATCCAATTCTGCAATCCGAATCAGGACAAAGAGTTGTTCGAGTAATAAGACAACTTTGTGGGGTGAGACAAGGAATTAATAATAATCCTTGTACGCCAAAACTAGGTAAACTATCCATAATTTAGTTCTTCTCAGTATCCAATGTAGCACAATGTCGTGTAGGTCAAACTACAACCGCATGTCTGTTTTTGTGTTTTCTTGCAAAATGAAGTGTTTGGATGCCTTGCGTTTTGTATCACTAAATTATCTCTCTTGACCTTTGTTTTAGCTTCCAAATATTATAATATAAAATCACAAGAGTTACCTTCTGTTGAACCCAAAGAGGACTATTCAACAAGTCAGAACGACTTACAAAAGTTCAGTTTTTCCCCATCTTGTGGTATACAACAAAGATTACAAGCAAATGCGGGACTGCAAAGGTATCATCGAATCTATAAATAATTCAGTTTTTTTGTGGCTTTTCCAGTTGTTCTCATTGTTATTGATGTAAACTATGTGGTTGTGGTTGTTATTATTAGTAGTAGTGCTTTTGTTGTTATCATTGTTGGTCGGAAGAAACACCAAATAGTAAACTAAACTAATTTCGAGATCTTTCGGAACGACTCATAACCTAATCTCGAGATCCTTTGGAAAGGTTCAAAACATAAACTTATCTCGACATCCTTCGGAATGATTCTCGAAAACACTCTGCTACTGAACTATATTTTGAGACAGCTCCCAACTGATATAGTTTCAAGAAAAAAATAACTGAATCCTTACTTAAAATCCTTCTAAACCAGGATTCTTATCCTGATATTGATACATTAATAAACGAAATGACAAGAAACTAGATTTCGTTAAAATAAAGAGTATTTTGTAATTGACATCTGTACCTCCATGATAATTATTTTTTTTTATCATTAGAATAATATTATATTAATATGTAATTGACACGTTTCTCATACTACCTGCCTCGATTAGCTTCGCTATATCGCAGGTGTAGTCCTTATTTATAAGTTAAATTGTTATTATGAATAAAGATGTTGTTCTGTATATAACTAAACAATAACTACTAAGTGCGGACAAGGTTAGTCGACAAAGGGTGTTACAATGGGCAAGTTTCTCGAACGTCCCTGTGACTAACGGGCCTGAGGCCATGTTTTGAAGTCAGTTTGAAAGGATCGAAAAGCAGGTTCTGTCACCCAAGCCGGTTCATTTTGTTTCCTTAGTCGATAGCTTTATTGTACAATTTTAAAGCTACCGGGACTTTCGAGAAACGGGCCCCAGGTCGCACACGCCATGCGACAACGACAAAAACTATTACGTTAATTTTTTTCGTTCAGTTACAAGTTCTTGAACACCGTCCGCACAGTTTTTGTGATCAAAGTCTTTTCAACAGTTGTTATTGTCGTTTATGACTGCTGATGTTGTTTTGTCAAGTTTGCTCCTTAATTGGGAGTTGGAAATATTATTGAGCAGTTAGGCCTTCAAATCCTACTTCACCTAGATCGTGCTTTTAGATAAACAAACAAACGTATATAAAGGCTTCGCTATTAAAACTTAAACTAGTGTTAGGAGTGTGGTAAAGATGATTTCCAATATGGATTAAACATTTTTCGCTGATGAAACACTCGTGTTAATTTACTCAACCTGAAAACGCTTGCAGGGAACAAGAATTGCCTTCCTTTGCCGGAAAAACAGGTACTGCATGGCCTGGTGAGACAAACTAATTTAATCAGTTACAAAAAGGAAACAATTTTTTTTTTTTAATTTCTCGTTAGGAAAAAACTATACCGTCTCCTGCTTTCTCTTAATGTTTTCAGCTGTTTCTGTAAGGCCAATAGCTAATCTGAGATACATAAGTACAAATACAGTATACATTTTTTTCCAGTTAAAGGTTGTTCTTCTCCAAAGGAAAAAAGTGGCGATTCTGAGAGTCGAAACGTTAAGCATTCAAATAAAAGGAAGGGACAACAGAGTCCTATTACAAACTACTTCAAAGAGAGGAAAACCTTTCAAGCAAAGGAGGCCGTGAATGCTGAACCAGTCAATGCAAACAGAGGTAACTAACTCAGGAAACGAATTGAAAAAGTAAAAAAGAATGAAAAACTAGACTAGAATTTATAACTCCTCAGTAACCTGAGAGATTAGATTTTTCCGAACGTTTTTGAGCTCAGATCACATTGAGTCAAATTTTATATCTTTAATATCAAGAGTATTAACTCGAAAACTGTGTGGCATAACATTTTTCCTTTTAGAAACCTCACAGGAAAATCAAACTAGTATTGTTAAAGTCTTAACAATGAATCCAACACAAAGAGAGGAATTCAAACAAAGCCTTGAATCAGCAGAAGAAGTTGCTTGCACCCTAATTTATGAGAACGGGTCGTCATTACTAAGACCAACGAAACAAGTGGGTAATTGATCTTTGTGTAGCTGGATTACGTTCTGCACCAAACGAGCCTGGAACTGTTGAATGAACACCTGATTATAAAGTTCTGCTGGGTTCTTAAATGCTGGCTAAAAAAATTTCTAGGAGTAACTGTTGCTATTTTGACTTTTTGGATAACTTTCATGCTCTAGAATTGTGCTTAAGATAGCCTAAATAAGCTTCAAAGTTTCTGCTCACACCATAAGGCTAAAGTTTAAAAGCGATACCTCACTTTTCTGTATCATTAATTGCAAGGAAACGTAAAAGTTGACTGACATAACTGTTCCACTCCGATCCATTCTGTAGAAAACATTGAAACAAGCGGATGACCTCTGTGGCAAAAAGGTAAAATGAACGAAAGAATTTAATTTCACGGTAAAGTCAAATGTTTTTCCTACCACGTAAAGCTACTTGAAACCGAGGACACTGATACAACTCATTGTTTATCTCTGTTAATGAAACTTGAAGGTTGCTGGGATGGTTGTCGCATTACCAAGGTCTGAGAAAGCCACCTCAGGTGCCGTTGATCACTCTGAACAGCGCCGTAAAAGTCAACTGATTATAGTGGAGATTCCTCTAGACACGCAGGATGGCGATATGAAAAAATGGTGCAGGTGAAAAGAAGTGCTTCAATTCAATCAAATTATATTTCATTTTCTAGGTGTTCAGATCACCAAAGAAAATACAAATCTTTCCGCCATGGATATCTCAAGTCCCTTGAAAAACTTTAGCTTTAATAAAAACGTCCTTCGACCTACATGACAATGCCACTATATATGCTAGTTAGGAAAGCTACGTTACACTTACGAAAGGGAAACAAGATTTTTTAAGAGGACCCTCATGTGTTCTTTGTCATAGGGCGGTGCTACACGATTTAATGACGTCATCGAAAAGAAAAATGTGCTACGGTGCGCAAATTATTGTACGCTATTTGATAGAGACTGCATATGCTGACATCAGAACAGGTAAGTTTACATCAGAAACTTTAAAGTCTCATTTAAATTGTACCATCAACTCGTCTTGGCAGCTCGGTTAAGTGTTTTTAAACCAAGCAAAACGATCCAGATAAGAGATGCATTACCAGTACTGAATGTAGAAATTCATGAATTATTTTCCTTTTGTTTTCTCAGTGTGCCTCAAGTGGCGTCTTCTTGACCCAAAAATAGCAGCTTGGCTTCTTAATCCTGACCATCCTCCCCAGACTTTTGCTGAGGTTCTAACCTCTGCACAGCTGAGCCTACCCGAGGTACAAGGCTGCATCGCATATATTCCTTGTCTAGAATTCTTAAATTGTTACTTCTTTCTTTCGGTCCATAATGTTTTTTTCATAACTTGAAAACAAAGAGTTTTATGTAAACGGCCAGCTAATGAGGGCTTTGCTTTTTCATGTGTAGGGGGGAAAGGAAGATGATTGTATGGTTTGTCGCGATATTGCGATGCTTGGGCCTGTTATGGTGAAACAATATAGCATGCTTAAGGTAACAGAATCAACCAGAGAGAAGAGAGGAAATATCACGATAATAGTTGACAACAGGTGATGAGTTCTTGTTTTGCAAACCTATAGACATTATTGAGAGAATAGGCCATCAGTGAAGCACCCTGTTTGTTGTTTAATTTTGTCCTCTCAGGCACTATCACTTTGGGATTTGTTCATCAATTTGGAGACGCCCGTTTGTTCGATGTTAGCAGGTACTGCCAATAATTATTTGCTTCGTTACTTTCGCTATCTGACTGTAGATCTGATCTATTCCCTACATCTCATAAACATCATATTTTCTACCTCCATTCCAGTCCCTTCAAATTGTAAAACTTGATTTGTCCTTTTTATTCAGTAATGGAGACCCAAGGAATCAACATTAATACTCAAGTTTTGATCGAGGCGAGCAATATTCTCAAGGTAAATTAGTTCCAACACAAATGCGCTCGAGTATAATAAACGTCTAAACGAGTCTGTCTTTGTTTGTCTGTCATTTTGACGCTCAGTTGAAAATCACTAGCTTGCTTTCACATTCTTTTTAAATGAGTATACTTTACATGGGTCAAATCTCAATGTAGACTTTCAGGACTTAAATTTTATTTACGTCAACTTTATTGACTTGTACCATTATCATTACAGATGAAAATTCAAAAGGTGGAAGTAGAAGCTCATAAGGTATGAACAAGAATCCCGAAGCAGTAAACTGAAAGCCTCTTGTATCAGCTCTAAGGCAACCGACGCAGCTTAGTGTTCTGAGGCCAAAAGTCCTGCCCATAGATACCCACTTCTTCCCTTGGAATTTCTTCAAAAATCCCTTCCCTATTTTGAGCGGCGATCTTGAGTGTTCGACAGTTAGTGCTAGAAAACAGAAATACAGCCTTGAATAAACATTAGAAAAAACGGGCACCATCAACAAAAACAACAACTGTTATTATTTGTTCTCTTGGCAGGCTGTAGGACATCCTTTTCTGATCAACAGTCCTCAACAGCTAAGGGAGGTATGGAACACTAAAATTGTAAATTTACTCCATTATCACATGCTTATTATAAATCTTATCATGATGGTCATGTTGAAGGTGTTGTTTGAGGAGTTGTACCTGGATCAAAAGTGCAATAAGAAGCTTGCACGAACCTCCATCAAAAATTACAAGTCTACATCAGAAGCTGTGGTTAGTAGTTGACTATTCATCGAGTACGTACAATTAGACAGCTGTGCGTTTGTTAATTAGTTTATAACTGTTCGTAGTGCTTCGTGTACCCCAAATCTGACAGCGATGGTTACCTTACCACATAGCGGATAAGCGAACTGAACCTAACAAATTTGATCATTTTTTGTACCTTTTCAGTTACTTCACCTGCAGGAGTTCCACCCTTTACCAAAACTTGTGCTGCAATACCGTCACGTATGTTTCACTATATTTTACAGCGTTAGAATTTTCCATAAAACGCAAGCCATACGCAACTAAGTTAAACATACTTACTAAATTACATTTTAAATCGATGTGAAAAGAGTGGTGATGAAACCGCAACTACCTGTGTTCCACTAAATCAATTCTCTCTCTGCGTCTACAGCTCGCTAAATTGAAGTCGACGTACTTCGAGGGAATTCTTTCCCATATCAATGAGGTAAATATTGCAAGCATACAAAGCGTGGTATTTTGAACAGTACACGTTATCTCCATTTTATCTCTTATTGCAATAATCTTGATTAATTAATAAGTGTCTCAGTGGTTTGTTGTTGTGTTTCCTTATCTCTTCTCTTCGTTTTGTAGGGAGTGCTGTCGACAAACTGGTAAGTTTGTCTCATTCGTGTTTCTGTTGTTTGTTGATAGTGTTGTAGTTCATTTGCTATGGCTTTGCTGAAGTGTACCGACCACTTAATTAAAATCGCTTGCCTTATTGTCCTTCTTTCCTTTCCTTTGCCAGTTATGGCTGCTGTAGTTGATACTCCCTCAGTTTCTGGTTCTATCACTTGTACCTACAGAGAGAATCAACCTGTTACAGAGATTAAGTACCTAGCTCGTATGCTTGCAAACAATCACATAATTATCATGTACACAAATGTAATCGTAGAATCAATATCTGAAGATTGAAGTCTAAGTTTTTAATAGAATCCCTTACATGTTCAGATGTTGTAAATAGGATAGTACAATCAGAGTCTTGCAATTAAATTCAGGGACCAGACGGCTGCGGCCACTGGACGACTGACCTCAGCCAATCCAGTAAGTGCGTTTTGAATCACCTGGTGAACTAAACGTTGGTAAACAGTTGACAGAGAAATCAGTACATGCATGACCGTTTGCTAAACCATTAACAGTTCTAGTATCTAGAACACCAGCTAATACCAAATGCGCAACTCATACTCTAACTTTTAAATTAAAGTTATCAGTAATTTGAAATAAAAACAAAATCAAATCAAATGTTATAGACTGACGACCTTTTTTAAACAGCGTATTACCCACTTGACTTACCACTCAGCCAGAGACTGACAGATCACTACATTTTAAGAGCGTGATCTATGTTGCTTGCTTATTTTTCCCGTACAGAATCTTCAGTCTATCCCAAAACAAGCAATAGAAATTTCTGGAATAAAGAAACAGCTCATCGTTGGTAAGCACCGAAAATCTATTTGGTGATGTAAATTTGAAGTTTGCGTCGTCTCCGGAAAAATTCTAACTCACAATTCGGTAACTCTAGGTAAACCAGAGGAGGTAGTGACAATCTATGCGCGGGATGCTTACAGAAGCAGAGAAGGCTGGCTGTTACTTGCAGCAGGTACGCCTAAAGTCTGAAGAGTTTATTTAATTTATCTCCTTAAGACGAGAGGTGGGTAATTATTTAAAACTCTTCTTGGTTGTTAAATCATCCTACTGAGTGGAACTGTTAGTCAGTATAGTGTATCAGTAGTTAGAGAACTTAATAAACACAAATACTAGATGATTTAATCACTGTTTCGTATTGTTTATAGATTTTCAATCAATTGAACTACGCCTGTTGTCTCACCTGTCAGAAGATCCTTCACTGGTTCAAATATTCAATGACAAGCAGTGTACTGACGTATTTACAACGCTTGCCTCACAATGGTAATAAAATGGTTTTACTGCCAAAGAAATATTATTTCATAACATTATGTATACATCAGTTAAGGTCTCAGTGAGCATTCTGGGATTAGCAATGGACAACAATCTCTGAAAAGTAAAAAGTTAAAATCACTCTTCATTGCAAACCTTCTTCTGTTTTCGTAGGTTGGGGAAAAGTTGTAAAGAAATCCAAATCCACGAGAGAGAAAGAACTAAGCGAATTGTTTACTCAGTAATCTACGGTGTTGGTGAGAAAAGTTTGTATTATAATGATATCTGCCCTTAATATCTACCACACAGGTGAATAGTGCTTTTCGCACGCGCTGATTGGCTGGTTCGAAAGTGACTAGCATTATTACTAGCCACCTTCGAGCAGCTGAAGAGACAAAGTCGCGCTTCAGAAATTTCGATTCCGACTATTTTTTAGTACATTGATTGAAATAAGCTAGTTTTTTTGGTTTCTGTGTGTATATACTAAAACAATTATTCATCTCCGCCTCGTTGAATTATTGATAACTATAAAATATATTCAACTGATTCTGTGTAAAGGAAATTGAACGGCTAACAACGGTGAAGCTTGAATGTGTTTTTCACCGTTTTACAGGAAGTGACAAACTTGGACAAACTCTCAAAGTGAGCGCAGAGAAGGCAAAGGGATTTATGGACAGCTTTCTAGGTCTATTGAAATCTTATTTTAGAGACAACTTTCTTTCATTTGTGAATTTAGCTTATTGGGTGCTTGTCGCTCATAGCCTAGAAATCATTTTTGTCCATGTTGTCTTACGTCAGGGCGATTCCCTCGAATAAAAGAATTTACCAGAAGTAGTATTGAAAGTTGTCAGAGAAACGGTTGGTATAGAAATGGAATGTCACATGTTGTTAAAGTTTATTGCATTTGTTTGTTCGATCATTCTTTCATTCATTCTACAGCCTCAAATCATAATACTACTAGCTATATTTAAATGGCATTTCAATGTGCAAGCTTTCCTGAGATCGCATGACAGGTACAGTCAAAGTGGCTGTTTATCTTACACCTGGACTGGTCGAAATTCCGTCTTTTGCTGTTTGTACGCTTCAAGCAGAATCCAAGTACCCAATCATGAAACTGCTAAGGATCTTCTCATATTCTATTTTGGACAGGATCAAAATATTCGGATACATGATTACAACGTTTGACAATAGAAAACAGCATTACATTTATCATTATTTGCAGGTATATATCTTTCTATCTATAGAGATGGCCTTCATGATTAGCAGCGATTCTTTCTTTGGACAGGTTATGCGTCCACGATTCTTAGCAGAAGACGGTGGTTGCCACATATTAAGTCCTTTGACTTTATTCAACGGTCGCAGGCTGAGCGACAGGCTGTTAACTTCATCGTTCAAGGTTTGTTCGTTTTGTCAGGTAATCACGAGAATTCGTATTTTAAGACGAGTCTCGGGCCACTATTAAATAACCTTCCCCCCATAAGTCCCTTGGGCATTACAAAATTAGAATCACTTTAAAAACCACCAGCTGACACCAAGAGAAAATAGCGGTCCCCCTTTTTATGTTCTCTTGCTATCGTTTGTCATTCTTTTATTTTTTATTTTTTTTATTTATAAACTTCGCTAAAAACAATTTGGCAGGAGATATCTCACATAACTAATGTTCCAGTAACGAGACTCCTAAACAATCAAACAAAAAAAAACAAAACAAAACAAAAAGAAAAGAAATTACAATCGAGTAGTAGAAATTATATGATTAGAAACAGGTAATTAACAACAGTGTTTGGCTAGTACTGCAGTTAGTGGTCTGCTCATATGACATTTTATGCAGACACTTTTGAAAGTTTGTGGAACTGCAGGATCATACACAGTTAAAGTTAGATCTAAGTAATATTTCTTCAAATTAGTTTTAAAAACATTAATAGATTGGGTATTGACCCCCAAGTATTCTGGAAGCCTTGAGGCTCTAGAATAGAAACTACACTGGAACGTAACAGTCTTAGCTTTAGGTATATCTAACAAATTCTTTGATGAAGCAGTACGTCTAGTTACTCTCATTCCTCTTATCTCTTGCTGTCGCTTGCCATAGGTTAATTTTACAAAACATCTTTTGTTCATTTAAGGTTCAGCCGCGGACATTTGTAAAGCAGCCATGATACAAGTCGTGAAAGCTGTCTGTAAGGACCCTTCTGTGCACGCAAGGTATATGTAATGTTGCATGCAGGTGTGCTTCACTAAATTGATTTCTGTGGCAGCTTAACTCAGTTTTGCTTAAAAGTTTTTTTGTGTGCGTGAAAAATTCTACTTCCACTTACTTTCATTTACTTTTTGCTAGTTTTGTGCGGTGTCATCTGTTTCACTTAGTCGCAGCCAGTTTTTTCGTTTGTCCGTGCTCCTGCTTTGGTATCCCCTGCTTTGTTCATAAATGTAACATTAATATCTCACAAGTTTGGCTCGTGTTCGTCTTGGTAGATTACTCCTACAAATACACGATGAGCTCCTTGTAGAGGTTCCGGAAGATGAAATCAACAAAGTGGCAGGTAAGACTTAGAAATTGACAAATCTTTTTTAGTGCGACGGGTAATAGGACTTTATAATGAGCAACGATCTCTTATTAGTAACAATCTAGAATGATTTTTGAAATCTTCTTACAGCATGCATCAAATCGATAATGGAGTCTACAGAGGAACTGCTTGGTAGCAAAGTAAAGCTGAAGGTAATGGTTGGCTTAGACAACGAAACTAATTTGAAAAAGAATACACTTTTCTAGATCTTGGGTAAGGCACTAAAACTGCTAGACTCTTGCTACGTATGTTAAATGCGTGATGCGTTGCCGCAATCTTTATCATTCCGCCTTAAATTGACAGAAAATTCAGCTCACCCAAAACTTTTATTTTTAAGTTGAAAAGCATTTAAGGTGGTTGAAAACAGTTTTTGATACCTGTTTCTTTCAACATTTTCTCTAAAATCCTTGATCTCTCGGTCGCCAAAACTGGCAGCAAGTAAGTTAACAACACAAATTTTGTTTTTTGATGGTTAAGCTGACATATGTGCCGTTGCCATGGCGACATGAATAAATATAAACAGGCAATTAAAAACGGTTTTATTAACATGTAGAAAATCTAGTCATTAGATTTTCTTTACAATTTGCATGCAACGAGCTTGTAACGATACTTACAAGATAACACCATTTTGCTAAAAATTTAACGGAGAGATCTTTAATTATCCCTTGTTGAAGGTTCACTCGATTATCTAGAATTTCCTTTGTTTAAAATCAATTTTTTTCGATACTTCGGTTACTTATTTCCTAAAGTATTTTCGTGCCGAGTTTCGTGAAATTCTAATGAGTGGTTCTCAAGAAATAGGCATATTTCCGAGAAAGCAATTATCCATTCAATCGCAATTTTTTGACTTACTACTAACTGGGTTCTTTCGGTAACGACGAAAACGCTGAGAAGTTGCTGGGTTCTTTGCACCGTTAACTTTTCTAACATATCTTTGTAATAAAAGATTAAAGCCTTCAATACACAGCGCCAATTATAGAGAAAAATAGCACAGTTAGTGCGGGTACGTGTTCATTAAATAATATGACCGCCCTATTGACGGCATGTTTGTTTTATGCAATCCTTTTGCGCGCGCTGAATTGCATCAGCCAAAGCGCGCGCGAAAACTGTTCGGCCACCTTAATAACGTATGCCATATATTTTCATAGGTACCCCTACCCGTGACTCTCAGTATTGGAAAGACGTGGGGACACATGGAAACCTTCTCTATCTGAGTTCCTTCAGACGATAACCTATCACGCCTATGAAAATAAATAAAATGGATGGCGTTTTACTCATCTTGACTCCATAACCTACTGGAAGTTACAATGCACTGTTTACTTCTTATCGCGCTGCTTTATATTTTTTGTGCAAATTTTCGTTGTCAATAATCCGATGTTAGGCTGATGTTCGGGATTTTATCCCATCGAGAAAAGAGCGGACTATTGGACTAATACACTGATTTCTTCTCATTAGGCAACAAAGCTAATAAAAAATCTTGTGCATACATCTATCGTTTTCTTTCTCTCACAAATACCAGAAAGGAGGCCGTCGTCGGGGATGAGGTGTGGCGGGAGATTTCCCTTCGGAGAGAAGGAGGGAGAAGTAAAAATTACCCTTGAAGTGTTCCATTCTCCATTTTCTATTTTATCACATATTGTCCACTTCTTAAGAGTCTATTTTAATTAATGTAAATCTACTAAAAAATTATAACTCTTATTGCAGCAAGAGTTACGTTGGCGAAACGCAGAGAAAATTCATAACAAGAAAAGGCGAGCACCAAAAGGCTGTCGCGTGGCGACAAGGCGAAAGATCTGCACTTGCTGACCACGTGATAAAAACAAATCACGAAATCGCATGGGATGAGGCCACAATTCTCAGGACTAACAAAAACTAACACCAAAGAAAGATTCTCGAGGCCTGGGAGATTAACTGCGCCAAAGACCCACTCAACCGAGACGACGGGGCGTTACTCCCAAAGGAGTATTTACACTTGACTCTCGCTAACAAGAAACAGTGCCACGTATCTTGACTTATAATCAGCGTCTTGTTTATATCTGCGCTTTTGCAGAAAATTTTTTCTTTCACTTCCCCTGAAGAGGGTCCGTGATTGCGACCGAAACGTCTAGTATCATGTTGCCCTGACTTTAAGTGAGTATCTGGGGCCTGGGGAAAAAGTAAGATTTCCACAAGTCATTCAATTAAAATGTGATTTTCTTGCATCAGTGAACAACAGTGGCTCTTCACCCAGCTGTTGTCAAACCAACGCACGAAAATGGTTTGGGCTACGTTTGCATGATGGACTTGCATCACACGATGGAGGATGACTGTCAAAAACTATCAGTCACCTTGGCCGATAAGGGACAAATTTTGAAATATTTATGAGTAAGTCGCGATTTAAAACGTTGACGTCACTTTGACCACCAGACTGATAATTGGTGCGGTAGAGATATTAAATTTTCACTTTGTACTATATCCTGTTATCAAACCAAAGATATTGCAGACTTGTTTTGCGATATTCAGTGGTTCAGGGGCTGGAACTATGCTTGCAATCAGTATCGCCTGCCACATCTCAAACCAACGAGTATGACTGATAGCCTCAATACCATCTGCAAGAGGAAGAGATCTGAAAATAATATGTTTAGTAGGAGATATTGTGTTTGATGACTTTGATTACGGAGTTAAAGCATAGTTAAGTAAGTACTGGAACTGTACACTTTATTCCGAGAAAGAACGCAATGCAAGTCTTATTTCAGCATTATATGATTAAAGACACTGAGAAACGTAATACGCAAGGAGAGGAGAAATTCGTGACTCAGCTGACCCTACAACTATTGAAACTGGTTATGTTGTAAACTGAGAACTTAAGGACGTCAATTCTTAATCGTCGCGTGAGGGAAATTCACAGAATTGAGAAGGGGGTACTTTGGCACTTGAATTACTAATGATGTGGCATACTTGATCGGAATGAGAGATCTTGGAGTGAATAGAGGCTCCGCTAAAGACAATGGATAAAAAAGTCGTGAATAAGTGAAATTATATACCAATAGTACTAAGTTTTAAGTGTCATTCATTGTGTTTTAACGATAAAGACGTCGAGACAAGAGTAAGCAGAATTTCAAAGAGCATACGCGCAGCTGCGAACTAGACAGACTAACTTATATGGGATTACAAAAGGTGATTTTCTACATTCAATATGTTCTTTATAGTTTTTGTGAGCACAAACGTGCAGATGGCCGAGAGATACAATCGCAAACCACCCCATAAAAATGAGTGCCCTCTACGCTTCTCACTTACCCTTCAGGAGGTAGGCATAGTCATCCGTTAACCGTTGCAGCTTCGAATTCTGAATCAAGATGAGGACATTTCTCATTTTAGTCTTGACGATTTGTAGAGCTCATGGTAAGATACGTAAGTACTTTTAGCACAGGTATCCAGTTTCTTTCTAATCCTCGCCAGTCCTCAGTGGAGTCTAAAAGCCTCAGATTGTAATACCAACACTGTTTGTACTCGATTATAACCTCATCAGCCTCGTGGTATTTATAATCAGATATAGTTTGGCCCTATATGTTTTTGCCGTTTAAGTCTTCTTTCCAAAACATCGCTCGAAATGCATATTTGTGTCTTTAGATACTCAACGCGCGGCCATAATTCAGTTCAACAAGGCATATGTCGGCGGCTAACGATGTAAGAATGAAAAGAAGACTTCAAACAGACAATAAAGCAATACTGAATGGATACTCAGACCTGGATGGATTTAAAAAGGGGACATGGGGAACGTACCGTCAGCCGTTTTCTAGGTTTTTTAGCGCGTGAGTTAATGGCACAGAATCAGGTTTTAATCTCACCAGAATTTCCTCCTTCAGTTTTAATGTTAACCCCGAAATTTGTCCTCCTGAAAACAGACCCCAAAGCCTTTAAGATGGGTCATTTATGGTTCTGCATACAAATTAGACGATAAGGATGCGACCAATGAGGCAAAATTCCAAATTTGAGGAAGAGGATTCACTGTCACCTTAACTTTTGTTGCATACCTACTCGTTTTACTTCATGTAATTGTGTTTTTCGATCTCTAGTGTCCGGTCTCGAGAAGTCTCCAAAGCCACCAGGTTACGACATATTAACAAAGAGCTTCAAAGCGAGAACATTTTTGCAGGCTGGAGGTAACAAAAGTAGATTTGATTTGATGCTTAGCATTGTATTTTAAGAGTTATGCCAGCCTATGCATCAAAAATCGATCTTTTATCTCTCAGAGATGTTTATCAAGCAAATTTACCCGATAATTTCAGCACTTCATACTGAAAACAGGTAAACAGGGAAAGTTATCATTTGGAGCGTGTAATCTGATATAGCGCAAAGTTTCTTACATTTGATTTTAAGAGAAAGTATAGCACCAAAGACCCAATTTTGTTTTCCTCATAGCGGCCCAAAAGAGAGAGCCTTATGGAGTAATGGTATGAAGGAATAAACTGCTTTGTTTTGTTATAGATATCGTCGAAGGAGATATCATGCTGGACAGCAAAACTGCCTCTCTTTATCGTGGAGAAACCAGAAACGCCATGAAAAACGTAAACCTCTGGAAAAACGGAGTGGTGCCTTACATTCTTGATTCTAGTGTGGGTAAGTGACGCACCAACTATTGCAACTTTAGCGCGGTGTTTTCCTTGGTATTTAATAAACTTTCGCCGTAGCGGAGGTTAACATTTGCTTTAGTATAGACTAAAACAGTGAGATAATATGGCACAAAATGATCATTTTACCTCATTTTTTTTCCTGCAATTATTACAACATTTTCTGGCGCGGATCCTGCGCGAGTTGCTTGGAGGTGAATGGCAAGGGATATTCGGAGTTTGATTAGCCAATCAGAGCTCTCCTTTGCGCTATGCACTGTTGCAATGTATATCAATGCTGCAGATTTGCCAGCATTCGTTAGTTAGTTATCTATCTATCTATATGTTTAAAACATTTATTCGTGTCCTCCTTTTGTCGAGTGTGTCTTAGATGATCACCTAAAACGCCAAATCGAGGAAGGCATCAGAGAATATCATAAATACACATGTCTGCAGTTTGTGAGGAGAACGAACCAAAGAGATTATATCAGGATCGTCAAACCAGCATCAGGGTAAGCTATTCAAAAATAATGACCGATCAAAACTTGGATCTTTTTCAGAAAAAAATGACAACCAAATATTTCCTTATTAGGTTTTCAAAAACTCTCGAATTTCACTTTCTTCCAACTTTTAGTCATTCAGTTACGTTAGGAATACGGATACCACAGGGAATATTATGAATAAACAGGAAGAATTTTTGGCGATTGAATCGAATAAGGCTAGCTCAGGACTTTTTTTATGTTTGTGTTCTGGCTAGCTTGACTGAATAAGTCTGATCCATGAAGCATTTGGCCAAAATATCATATGAAAATTCATAACTGACTCGTAAATTCCACGTTGAATTCCACGCGAAAACCGATATCGCACGAATCCCGAAGCGATGAGTGTAATAATCGGTTTTCCATGGATTTTTCTTGAATTGTATAATTGAATAAGAACAATTTCTTGTTAATCTCTTCGTAGGTGTAACTCGATGGTGGGCGCCGTCGGTGGGGAACAAATCCTCAATATGGGAGATGGCTGTCAGTATGTAGGTCTGGTTCTTCATGAGTTTGGTCACGCAATCGGCTACTTTCACGAACACAACAGACCTGACCGTGACGAAAATGTTAAAATTTTGTGGGACAACGTTCAGTACGGTGAGAAAATAATTTTTCTCCTTTTTCTGTTAAAAAAATATTGGGTTCGGGACGTCATCTGAAACAGGCAGAGCTTCTGGTGTCTTCTTGTTAGGGATCAGTCGTTATTTATTAACTGAGGGGAGAGGGGGAGGTTTGCGGGGGGGGTTTCGTCAGGGGAATCGTATGGTTTTCAGGGGGAGCGGAGGGGAATCAGTCGTAGCCAATAGAGTATAAAAGGGGGGTCAAGAGAATATTACAGAGCTTCATAGGAGGATCAGGTAAATTGTATCGACCGATAAATCTTCCGACCGCTCCCCCTTCTCCCCCCGCTCCCTCTCCTCTCCCCCCCTCTTTTACAGAAACTGAGATAAGCTGGAGTGCTGATAATTGACCTATTTTGTTACGCTTTTTAGTAACTGCAACATATAATTTTTACTTTTTTAATTGTGCTGTTGAGCGTGCACTATGATCTTCTGTCCTATATTTAAGGTTTCAAGGACGCTTTTCGCAAGTACACTTTTGATGAGGCAGATGTCCAAGGCTTCAAGTATGATCTGACTTCCATTATGCATTACGAGAACTCTGCATTCACTAACGGTTATTGCCGTCCAACTATGCTTGTTAAGAAAGATCTATCGTACGAAGTGACGCCAGTTTACTTGAGGAACTTTAGTCCGCAAGACATACAGAAAATCAACAAGCTTTACAGTTGTCAGACAAATCAGCTTCCTCCAACAGGTAAAAAAATACGGTTAAAGCGAAAGCTATGATACATTTATGCTTAGCAATTTATTTTCTTTATTATCATTTTGCGACTGCGAATAATACTCTAAAATCAATAGCACAGTCAAGATGAGATACTAAGATACATCTAGCCTCCCTCTTTACCATGAAAAGTAAAGTTGAAAGCTAAAACACTAAGTTAAGCTAAAATACTCTCCAATACTCTCCAGACCCCCTCCCTCCCCCCCCCCTCGCAAAAAATGGCAATAAGGAGTTAATATAAGACTCCTTTGCCGGAAAATCCCGTAGTAGACCCACAGACGTCCAATTGGAAATCCAGGAACCTTTGTTAAACACCAGTCTCCCGGGAAAGTTGCCTTTAAAATTTATGACGGGATCACTATCCAAAACCGAGTTCTCGTCTTCAGCAGTCTCATTGGCATTGAAAGCGCTACCAAACGCTTGATGAAGGCTGGCTAAGGAGCAGATAAGATTATGAGTCATGTTTACAGCGGACCCAATTTTCCGTCGTTCCATGCATAGGAAAGTCATCTGACATGACCGGAAACGGGGACCGAAAACTCAACTGATTTGGCTTTTCGATCACAGCCACTCTGACCGCCACCGTTCTGGTTTGTTGCAGTTTTGCCCGGAAGTGGAAATCCAGATCCATCTCGTAAGTTGATCGTGAGGTTTTCAACAGACAGTAATTGCAAGGGCTTCAATTCTTATTGTTTGCCGCTTCATAAACACCATGCTTAACCTCTTAATTATATCTGTTTTTTTCCCCTTAAGAATGTAAATGTGAGGATAAGTACAACGAATGTCATGGTTGGATGAAATCGGGTGAATGCGGGCTCAATCTCATGTGGATGTCGACTAACTGCGCCAAGAGCTGCAGAACATGCGGAGGTACGACATCACAATATCTGTCATTCAAAGATTCCACTTTTCTTTGATTCATATTCTTCTCGCACTCATCTTAATAATTTTTCTTTTATTTCTTTGCAGAGCCTCCCTCTGGTGAGCATTATGGGCCTTAAACATTATAAATCATTTATCGTTAAGTATATGGATAACCTTTGCTTAAGTCTGAGAATCTTTAACTCGTATTAATTTAAGTAAAATTTTACATAAGAGTAAGGACTGTACTTAAATAGATGCAGCGGCGTAGCCCCTTGTGGTAGGTTTGTTTTCTGGACTGTTTAACATCATTATATGTCTAGCTAGGAAAACCAAACTACACAATACCCTAGTTGAACACACCAGTAGTAACAGGGTGCGTATGGAGGAGAGCCAATCAGATTGCAGTATTTCAAATTTGGACCAATAAGATTGCAGTATTTTCAATCTGATTGGTCCAAATTTGAAATACTGCAATCTGATTGGCTCTCCTCCATATCGCCCCCTATTACTACTCAGACCAGTGGTTAGTTTGGCGATCACTTCTTTGGAGATCTCACAACGATTTGGTCTTTTCTTGCTGAAATATCTTGCTTACCTGTTATTTTTCTTTGTTGACTTTCCCGCGATTTAAAATCACACTTGTTGTGATTTGCAGTATTTTCAATCTGATTGGTCCAAATTTGAAATACTGCAATCTGATTGGCTCTCCCCCATATCGCCCCCTATTACCACTCAGACCAGTGGTTAGTTTGGCGTTCACTTCTTTGGAGATCTCGCAACGATTTGGTCTTTTCTTGCTGAAATATCTTGCTTACCTGTTATTTTTCTTCTTTGACTTTCCCGCGATTTAAAATCACACTTGTTGTTTTTAAGATTGTCAGGATGTGTACCCAGTGGCGTGTGAGACCTGGGGAACAAGTGGCGAATGTTCTAAGAATCCAATATGGATGAACGCACATTGTGAGAGGACATGCGCTCAGTGTAGAGGTGAATTTATTATAAACTTATTGGATCACCTGAGAATATTGTCAGTTTTGCTACACTCAGAACTCCTGCTGCGTTACCTTCTGATTGCAGTCAGACGTAGTGAATTCTTTCATTTTTGATAAAAATTCCATAAAAAGGCTAACACTTAAAAGCATTCAGCTAATGTTTCGTATCTTTAAACGCAGGACCAACTCAAGCACCTACTCCACCCCCTGTTGGCACAACTCAGCCACCCCAGCCTCCTAAACCTACCACGCAACCAACCGGAAATTGCAAAGACGTTTATCCTCAGTACTGTCCCGACTACAAGAGAAGGGGAATGTGCACCACTCATGTCGACTACATGACCAGTGTCTGTCCGGCAACCTGTGGATTCTGTGGTAAGTAGAAGGATTACAATGTCGCGGAGAAAGGAAGAATCGTGGTCTCGTCCCAGACCTTTTACGGCCTACGGTTACACGGTAGGATCTGGGTAGGAGATAAGAAGAATCTTTAATCATAAGAGTGGCCACTTTTTTGTAAGTACCGTCTACAAAGTTTCATATTTCCTGTTAATGACTCTATTGGTAACTGGACGCATATTTGCGCGTATGCGGGCACTCGTACGGATTAAATTTTAGCGCAGTCTTGATACGATTTTCATTCTCACCTTACACATAGATTTTATATGCAAGTGAAAGGCATTTGTGGAAAGCATTACAAATGTATGTGGAGAAACAGAAAGTTGGCCCTTTCACACAGAGTTTCCACATGCTTGTCGCATAAGTTTATAAGGCCTACAGCCGAAAAACTTGTACTAACGCATGCGCTAAGAGCCTTTAAGCTCAGGCCTCCCACGGGGCGCATGAGTACTGAGAGCCGATGAATAATTCTGATTTGATCGCCAAAGCAGTTCTTTTACTATGCTTTCATTACTAATGCAGTTCTTTTCCGCTCTAAATTCTAATTTGGAAGGTCTCGGTTAAAGCCCTGACCAGTGTAACTGTAAAATGAAGTTCTTGACCTAGACAGGGGCTAGACTCGTTACTCTCAAGGTGACGCTCCTATCTCGGGTACCGGGTGAAATGCTTTAGGGTAACTCTGAAAAGGGCTATCGTTCCATTCAGGTGTATTAACAGTACCCCTTGTCGCTTCATGTTACAAAAATCGCGATGTTCCGCTATGTAGGCCTTTTGAATTGGGAGGGGAATGAAACTCATACGTTTTGCTTTTTACCCAGGCGGTGGTGGTGGTGGATCAGGGAATTGTAAGGATGTCTACCCTCAATACTGTCCAGGTTACAAACAAAACGGAATATGCATTGATCCTGACTATTTGGATTACGTCAAAGAGGTCTGCAAGAGGACTTGCGGCTTCTGCAGTAAGTATTATTTGACGTCTTTCTAGCCGCTCTAATGAAGTGTGACACTTGGTTTGGTGATTTTTAACGCTCGGTATAAACGACCATGTGATTAACGTCATGGATAAGAAACAATCAGGTTCATTTTCAAAATCAACTGGGGATTACCAACCTTAGGAGACAACCTTTGCCCCCACCCCAGTTATCCCTAAACTTAATATCCTAAACTTTCTACCCAACTGTACTGCATGTAAATATGACATAATGAGATACCTACTGTTCTCTGTTTTAGACTGAGTGGCTCGTGTACATGTTTGGAACAAGCGACGACTTATGACCATTACATATTGCAAACTTACACAAGGAGAACTTTCTTTACAAAGTCAAAGTTTTGTTAAGTTCATTTGTTGATGGATCTTAAAGTTATTAAAAGTGGTATTGATCCTGGCTGAAGATCGTCTCAACTTTTTAATGGAACTTAGCATAGTATGGGCTTGGGGACGACTGTTTTCGATACCATTGGTTTATGAGATCTTTAAATAAATTTCAAAATATGATTAGGGTTATTAAATTTCCCCGAAACCATTTTTTTGTTTTGTCTTTCTTTCGGTGGATGATAAATGTATCAGATTTTTCCATCAAGAGCTGCATTCAATATTTAGCTATGCTTACGGATTCCTCTAAAAGCTTCCCAAAACAAAACGAAACAAATACCTTCAGAGATACCTGTCTTAAGTCACCTATAGCAGTAAAAGCCAAAAAATTAATGTACACGTAATCCGTTTCCTTAGAAAAATCCTTCGCTGTTAGGCCTTTATAGATTTTGCTAGCATAATTTTTGGCATAATTTGAGCAAACTGGCATAATTTCTGCCAAGTAGCAATGCTAGCATAATTCGCATATTTTGATAATTATCGGATCATTTTTTATGCTACAATTTGATCATTGTTCATCTCTACTCTCAAGCACTTGGTGACGTTATTCGATGTTTTAAGTTTTAGTTCAAGTGGTAGCATTTGCAGTTCACTCTGAATCACTGAGCGGCGTCTGAAACGGTCTGAGCCCGGGTCTGAGGTGCACCGGAACCGGAAGTCACATTGTAGGCCATGTATAGTCCTCGCGGTTAGCTCAATGGATAGAACGCTAGACTGTTGTGCGGGAGGTCGAGGGTTCGAGCCCAGGCTGGACCAACACTCAGGGTCTTAAAATAATTGAGAAGAATATGCTACCTTTCTATAACATCAAGAAATGGTTAGATATTGTAGTCTTCTCGGATAGGGACGAATAATTGGAGGTCCCGTCTCCTGCAGGGCTAGGGGCAGGAGACGTTAATTTCCCACACACGAGATTACTGTGTGATGGATGTCCTCCCCTGGGGTGGGATGGGTGGTTAACAGGACCCCCGTTGATACCAGTGTTTACTACACTGAAGGGGCTATCCTGTATAAATATAGATGTCTACTCTACTCTACTCTAGAGCTAGTGTGCATGTTGACATGAACCACATGTTTATTTGAATTTCATCGTGGATTTGTTGTGTTTCTTTCTTGAAGACCAACGGTTTCTAATTAAAAAAATGTATTTTTGGTCTTATTTGCAATTTTTTCACACAGCATAATTTGGAAAAAAGAACAAAATTTTAGCATAATTTCGGGAAAAAAAAGCAAGGCTACTAGCATAATATGCTACTTTTACTAGCATAATCTATAAAGGCTTACTCGCTGATCGAATACACGGTTTTTTGCTAGCTTAATTAGTTTCCACAAATAACACGATCCTGGCTCTCTTTAGTCTCCCCGCAGCCGTGATGTTTCGGTCACGCAACGCTGCCTCACAGACACGGCCGTGTCTGTGAGGCAGCGTTGCGTGACCGAAACATCACGGCTGCGGGGAGACTAAAGAGAGCCANGCGTTCTTGGTTAGGATTAACTCTAGCCGAATGGCAGAAATTGTGTGATAATGATACAGAGCAGCCCCTAGAGCAACCACAGCCGCGATAACCCATTTAGATTCACTTTTTTCAATATAGCTGTTTAAAAATCTCCTTAGACCAATTCTCCGATCAGTTTGGTTAATCACGACTTTTTCTTGAGTGTCGGTCATTGCATAAAGAGAAAGCATAAAGAAAACTACAGCGAATGTAACGTGGTTCACAGTGCAGGCGTCTTGATTGGATATTATTATAAATCTAAACAGAAGCTCGACCGACCGGTAGTGGGTGTAATGAAGTACATGGTCAGGGGGACTTAGTCTCCCCGCAGCCGTGATGTTTCGGTCACGCAACGCTGCCTCACAGACACGGCCGTGTCTGTGAGGCAGCGTTGCGTGACCGAAACATCACGGCTGCGGGGAGACTAGGCTCTCTTAAGCTTAAGTCAACTTTGTGAAATATTAACATTCCTCCTGTTTTTCCTCGAATAAGAGCCTGGAAGCGTATTTAAAAGTTTCAGCTTCCGGAAGGGACGCTTGTTTGAAGGAGGGCGCTTGATCGAAGCAGGGGGGGGGGGGGTGGGGGCGTTTATCAAGAAACATCCAACCTGTACCAAGAGATTATATTCTCTTGTATTTACTAATTCCGCTATGGTTGAAGCTTAAAACGTGATAAATGAAGTAGAAAGAGGATCAGGTTTCCCTCCTATCCTTATAATTTAAGAAGCGAGGGAGGAGGGAAGATGGGGTCAGAAGTGGAAATGGCTGCTTCAACCTCGTTCCCAGGGCCTTTTCCCTTAGCTGCACTTATTTGGGGGAGGACGCTTATTAGAGCCTGGGCGAGGAAATATGGTAATTTTCCAGAGATATTTTGATCAAAGAAAAAATTCTCACTGTTCCTCTTTTCTGGAAGCTCTCAAAAGACCACGCCTTTGATCGATGTTGAAGCTTTCTAGGACCCAATCTCTCCCTGAGAATCATTAACTTTACGAGAAAATTCCCTCCTAAATCAATAAGGCTTAAGTGTCGTTCAATGAGCCATAATGATAATACCGCCGTTTCGGAATGAGATATAAAATAATAAATGAATGAAAAAATAATTCAAGATTCGTTTTATTACATACTCAGACATCCGTTAAGCGCGCGAAGACTCTCGTTTAATGACTAACCGACTCAATTAACTTTTCAGCCTCGGATTCTTGTTGTGTGCGAATAAATTCGCATACGGAGCTATATTGAACGAAGAAATAGTACCTGGTGGGTAACTGGAAGACCACCAAAAGAAGTCAATCGTGTAATGATGTTTTAATTTCACGGTAGGTAAATAACCATGAAAATTTTAATAATATGCAGTTCCGGCCAGAAAGTTATTTCTCCACTGGGTTTTAATACAGTTTCTTCGGAGGGCTTTCATTCTAAGACAATATACGAAGTGAAACGAAACCATCTGGATTTCGAAGAACCGAGTTTTATTCGAAAATTTGAATGTCTATAAATGCACGTTTTTCGTGAGTGCTCATTCGAACCTCAAACACAGCTTTTCTTTTTTCGTTTTCACAGATCTAGGTTCATTTTCATTCATGTGTGTATATCTTATCTTTGATTCGATTGCTTTAAAAGAAGGGGAGGCTTTTGACTCCCCCTGCAATCCCGTACTCTGTGGATAACCTCTATCTTGATCTATACGTCATGTACTAGTGTAATGATAACATTTCTAAGCGAAGGGCTGAAACCGTGCAAGGTTTGGTCCCTCAATTGAGCCCAAATTATTCATTGACTGTTTTTATTCGATTCTGCTCCAGTCGGAAAAAAAAAGAAAAGACACAACGACAAAGTGACATTGTGATATCAAAACAAGGTCACAACACGAGGAAACAATTAAAATTTGCGAAAGAGATCGTTTTCAGAATAAATTCTGAGAAGGGAACGTCCGATCGAAGGAGATTTTTTTGTTTCTCTTTGGCACACAAAGGAGCCAATAATGATTCTCGTTTTGGAAACCTTTGTTTCCCAAATTCTCATTGATTACAGCTCTTTTTCGGGTTTCCTAAACTAATGAATTTTGTGTTATTGTCAAATCCTCATAACTTGGCTTTTGAGCAGGTGTTTTAGATCCTTTACAATCGGCATTGTTCGGCGACCAATCAGAAAGTAGCCATCTGCAATTACGCTGAGAAGAGTGTGACCGAAACAACGCTGCAGCTTGTTCATTTTGCATCTCATTGCAATTACAACTGCGGTAAATTTGAGCGGCTTTATGTAATCTACAGTCATTAAGCTTGATTTTGGCGTTGTATGCCGCAACTGTTGGTGCTATTCCGAAGGAGGTACTGTTCGTTTTAGCATTCCCGATTCGCGTGCAAATGTGAAGAATAAAAGAATCTTCCGGCCAGTGTGTATGGCGAACACCGGAGGCAAACATATGTTGTCGACGAGCCAAGTTTATCAAAGAGGATCTGCATTGCAAAGCGATGACGGTTGATCGGATAGCTACTTCTTGATAAAACCGTTTACCTTTAGAGATGCCGAACCTATCCTTTGGTGGTCCGAGAGATCGCCCGCGTAAGTAGTTATAAACATTCAGTCCATTTCTTTTAGCACTCTCATCTAGATCAAGTCTGGAATTGCCGATCAGCCTTTGTTTTAAGATCAAAATTGCGGATGTCTAGTGCTAGGGTAGCAATTCGAGTTTATAGAGTTTGACATAGTTATTTCATGTATGCTCGATGTGTTTGCTTTTCATTTCGTCTCACTCATAACTGGGGTGCTGTTACTATATAAGATGTGCGTAAATGCGTTTGTTGTCAAGCAAAATGACATTCGATTTAATGATCTGAAAGAAAAGAACAATTACTTAAGGCGTAACTTTTTGGAGCGTTAAAAATTGAATTTTCGACGGATTTTTAGAAGTATTTGCCTTTGGAAACACTAACCTTATGTTTCAAACGTTTGTTTTGCTTCTGTAAAGTATTGCGTCAGACCCTGCTAGCCTTCTTTGGGGTTGTGGAACATTTCGCCCAAACATCGCTGGAAATGTAACATTTCCCCTTTACCGATCAGATCCGATATTAAATCAGAAGGTTGTTCATCTCATCACGTTTTGAAAAGAATTCCCATTTTCGCATGTGCAATAACTTGTAGGTTCTGTTGTTGTTTGTTTGACAAAGTTATGATTTAGAATAAAAGTTTCCCAGTAATCAGAGGGGGAATTAAAACTCTGCAATTTATTTGCGCCAGTAATAAGCAGAACTAATCAATGGCTACTTTTGCCTTTATTCGTTCACAAACGAGTTCTCGTCTCAAGAATTTCCATTTGAAAGTGATATTGTACATCTCCATTTGATTACTTTTCTTCGATCATAAAATTTTTATTCTCAAAAAAACAAAATAGAGAAACGAAACGTATTCTCAAAAGAAGCAGCAACAGTGTGTTTTTCATACTATACATTTATTGGTTGCTTTAAAATTTTTTTTTTTTTTTACTTTTACTATACTTGGTCAGATGATATTTTAAGATAAGAAAAAACGAAGCTGTACCACAACCTAATCTGTCCTTCCCTTCAGGTGCCCAAATGTGTTTGTGTTAATGATATTGCCTGCTCTTGATGAATTTTGGTCATTTATATTGGGTTCGTTAGGCAAGAAATATTGGACATTTCCCAAACACAATGCAAAATTTTCTAGTTGAAATATGTTTTTTTTTTTTTTGCTTTAAAGAAAGTTAAAATTTGAAGAATAATCTGGAGTTACTCTGCAAAATTCCCTGAGTTTAGCTTGATTCTTTTTAAAAACTCTGGATTTAGCCATCTGGAAAGTCTTAGGTAAATTTTGCATATGCAGATTAAACAGCACTTTAAATTTTTACTTTAGATTTTACTCTCTCAATCTTTTTTTGGTGCTTTTAAATTCCCTAAAAGGATTTACATCCATCAGTCTTGGTAGTGTTATTAGCATATTCAAAGTGGTTTCCAGAAAGAAATAGAGCTGGGAAATCTTGATTCAATTGGCAAATTCGGGGATCAGCTGTGTAATTCAGGAAGTCTCTCATAGAAGTCTGGTCTTAACCACTATAATGTATGTTTTGCTAATTAAGGAAGTTTCAAGGAAAGGACTTCTCAAGATTTTGAATGAATTCTTATCAATCAATTTGGAGATTTGCTTTGAAAAAGTGAAATGTTCTCTGCTGCACAAACCATATTCAAAACCAAATGAATAATAGTACAATGTAAAAGTAATAATATTAAAAAAAAAAACAATTCTAGTGAATCATGAGTGAATTATATAACCTCAGTTAATAAAAGGAACGAAAACTTAGTTTTAAGTTTACATAATGATGGATAAATGCTATTTTTTTTCTCTTTGCTTAAGTTGAAAGAGGATGGCGCCTGCTGTCTCTTGATTTTATATAGGATTATGTCATCATCTGAACCCAATTAAAAATTTGATGCAAGAATATCAGTGTCTGCCAAGTTTTGGGCATTGGTATTTAAAATGTTTTTATTTTTGAGGTTCCTTTGCACCTTCCAAAAAAAAAAAAAAAATGCATGCTTTCAGTTTCCCAAACTTCACTCTTTTAAAGGTTGAAGTCTGAAGTTTAGGACATCAACAGCTTGAAAGGGTTGCTTTGAGAAAAACTTTATTGTAGCTGCACAATGTTTTAAATTTTAGTGTGAGTTACTATTGCTGTGGGGTACTTGCTATCAGACCCTACTATTTAGTAAAGTTAAACTTACCTTGTCTTAAAGAAGAGGACATGTAGAGGTTAGCCAATACATAAGTCAGCCTTCAAACACTGTATACTAGAGTGTAGTTGCCTTGTATGTTTGCTCGGTATTATATGATTCATGGAGGTTTTCTCAAACGGTCCCTCCCCACCTCCCCCATAGCTGATTGCAGTGTTTATTCTCCTCACCTGTTTGTGTGAATTAATCATAAATAATATTTAATAATAATAATAATAATATTTAATAATAATAATAATTAAGAGTTTTTCCAGCGCATGTAGAAAACCCAGTGCACTTATTTATATACAGTACTGTGCAGTAAATGACTTGAACCCGGGGGTAACATGTGAAGATGTAGTCTGATCGTCCGGGTGAGTGTAGTCCTGAGAAGGACTGTTGTCGGTGGTAGTGACTGACGTTTCGACAACCTGTGCGGAAGTCATCATAAGAGTCAAGTGAATGATTGTTGTCAGTAGAATGTTCTTATTCCAGTTCGTGTGAAATGATCGGTTGGTTTTGCCGTGATGTTATTGGCTGTAAGACTCAAGTGACGTAAGTCGGTCGTGATTGGTCTGTTTCGATCTGTCGGTAAAGTTAGGTCGTTCTTTTTCGGTCGTTTGTGATGTTTATGTCGTGAATGAGTCGTTTGTATGGAGCGGGTAGTTGTTGACATCTGTTTAGGGGAGTCTGTTCTAAGTTAGTAAACCAGCTTTCCAGAGTCAGTCGTTGAAAATAGTCAGTGCTGTAGGTTAGGCATTGCGCAGAGTCCCAGTCAATGTTGTGGTTGGTAAGTCGATGGTGTTCAGCAATGTGATTGCTGACATCACCTTTCCTCGTCGCCCGTCTGTGTTCAGTCAGTCTTGTTGTGAGGTTTCTGCCAGTCTCACCGATGTAGGAGGCTTGGCAGTCGGAACAATTGATCTTATAAATCGTTCCCTGTCTGTTCCTCGGTTCGTCTTTGTCTTTAACGTTGGTTAGTAACTGACGTAGTGTGGTGATGGGTTTGTGGGCGACGCGGATATTGAAGGGTAGTAAGATGCGCGAGATGTTTTCAGACATGCCTTTTATGTACGGTATGGTTGCTGTAGTCGTAGGGGTTGCGGTGTCGTTTGTTTCGGTAGTGGTAGTGGGTCGGTGAGTGTTTCGTCGGATGAAGTCGTTGTTGTAGTTGTTCTTCGTAAAAACACGGTGAAGGTATTTGTTCTCGTCGGATAAGCTGTCTGTCGAGTCACATACTAGTTGTGCGCGTCGTGTTAGAGTTCTGATAGTTGTGGCTTTGTGTGATGTAGGGTTGTAGGATGACTCGTCTAGTAATCTGTCGGTGTGTGTCGGTTTCCTGTAAACTGTCGTTCGTAATGAGTTGTCGTTGTGGCTTACCAGGCAGTCTAGAAAAGGAAGTTTGCCATTTTCTTCGACTTCTCTGGTAAACTGTATGTCAGTGTTTTGTTCGTTAAGGTGGTTGTGGAATGCGTCAATTTCGTCGTGTCGAACGGCGGTGAATGTGTCGTCAACGTAACGTAACCAAAGCGGTATCGTTTGTCGGCAAGTCGAAAGGGCGCGTTCCTCGATGTTCTGCATCACAATTTCTGCTATAACAACAGAAACTGGAGACCCCATGGCAGTGCTGTGTAACTGTTTGTAGTGTTTACCGTTGTACTGAAAGTAAGTAGACGTTAGGCAAAGAATAAATTTGTTGATACCTATAAAATGTTTCTCATAACAGTAATAAATAAAGTAACAGTTTCTCATGTAATAAATCAAGAATATAGTTTTTGAAACAAGAATGTTTTGAGAGCAGATTTAAGAGATGAAAGAGATGTTGTATTTTTAGCAGAATTTTGGTAAACTGTTCCAGTTCACCTTATGTCATAGAGTTAATGCCATAGGGACATAAGCTATGAGTGTCCTTATGGTGAAAAACCTACTGCTTATTGCATTGGTAAACCCAAAGAAAATTGAAACGTTTTAAGTTTATTTTATGAGGGCGATAGACCACACCTTCTAGAGATTTACAGGCTGGTGGGTGTAAAAGCCTACTTAGAATGTTGGGGGATCACTTTAAAAAATCTGCAAATCACAAACTTTTGTCATTTTTTTCCAACGTTTCTGTAATGTTTATTATGTTGGTAAACTAACAGAAAGGGTAGTCTATTGCATAATTTTTATTATTTACCATGTAACCGACTGGCATTATTCTCTTTAAGTCAAATTGAGCGAGGAAATTTGAGTTTCAGTGTAATAAAAAAAAATTGCATGTTGCACCTTAATAGGTAGTCATGTGAAATTTCCTGCAGAGATCATTATCAGCCCATTATCAGACCATAATATTGAGCTCACAAGTGAATTTACAATTATTAGCATACTGATTAGCAGGTCACAGCCTAAATACTTCTCTTAGTCATTTTAATGGAGTAACTCTATCAATGACTTCAGACAGTGTCAGTAACTCATTTAGTGCTTAATAAAATGTTTTGAACCAGGAGGCTCGATCTGTGAACCAATGACGCAGACAACAATGGCAAGAAGAGTGATGTTGATTCATCAGCTGGTTTTGAAGGGTGATTTAAAAGAGTTGAAGAAGGAGATTGCCAAGGACATAGGTCTGTTGTTCAATTGCAGGTTACCTGTAATTAATTTCCTGTCTCTGTCTAAGGGTTTTCTGTTGATGGGGTGATGTGGAGGTCAGTCAGATTTTGTTACCTTCGTGGTAATAATTAGATTAAAATTATATAATTTATTATATAGGATTTACAGCCCCGAGAAAAGCCATAAATGTGTTAAATAACAAAATTTTTCATAGTTTGTAGGTGTACACTAATCAGCTGCAGACATGTCACTTGACTTCCACTGCTCCATCAGGCTGATGAATTAATGGAAGAGTATTCACCTTTCTCAATCCAGTCCTTTTAAAATTTTCTTGTCAGTGAAGGCCTTTGGTGTTTAATATATGATAAAGTAACAAAATAATACATGTTTGCTTGTTAGATGTGGAATTTCTCTTCGCTTGTTTAATGTGATATCTTACAAGTGCATGAATGTTGCAAACAAGTGAGATATGAAGTTGATCACTTGAAATCCGTATCTATGTACACTGCTACATGTATATTTAGTAACTATAAAGTTGTAATAATTATTCTTCATGTAAAAATCTCTGTAATTCTGAAGAAAAAACTTGGCAATCAGTTTCCAATTGAATAGACCCAAGGTTGCAAACAGCTGCAGTTATGGTTAAGAATGGGAAAATAAGATTTAAACACAGCATGGTGGGTCTTATTATAAATAATTATTTTTGAAGAAAGTTTGTCCAGGAATCATTGATATGAGGGATGTCAATCTGCCACCAGTTGTGTAGAGTTCATAATATCCAAAGTCACTTTGGTCAAAACATCATAAGTGGGCAACAATTAATATTTTTGATTGGCTGGTCTTGTTAATGTGAAAGTGTTCAGTTGAGGTCATTTGGTGTATTAGTTTCAAGAAAGGGCGTGGAAAAAAGCATAAACTTTAAGGTACATGTGACAATTAATTCCTAAAGGTATAATTGTTAATAGTTTTCAGGTGATATTGGTTCTTGACAGCAGGATTTCAGGGAAATTTGAGAATTTAACATCACTGTTAGGATGTGACATCATGGGTTTTGATGAATTTGCATGTATTTATCTAGTATCTGCATGCACTTTTTCCCTTTTTTTTTTTTGACAAACTTTCTGAAAACAGCTGTATACTTGTAGGGTATAGTAAACAAAATATGTCTCTATTGAACCATGCAGTTGATGCTCTAAGTATTTTTATAGCGTGGTTTGCTGGTTACATTACAGATCTTTTAGAAGGCAAGAACAGTGAGGGGATGACACCACTTTTCCAGGCTACAAGCAATAATAACTTGGAGTGTGTTCAGTTCCTTGTTACATCCGGTGCAAATATTGATGCACGTGATAATGTTGGAAGGACTCCAGTTGCTTTGGCAGCTTATCAGGTGGCAGCCAGTTGTTGTAATTTTTTTCATATTTTGTAATTTTCATCATATGTATTGGGTTGTGTATTGTTACTGCAAATGTGCCCATGCTCTAGTAAGCTCCCTCCCCCAAATAAGAGCACCCCCTCCCCCAAATAAGAGCACCCCCTTCCCCAAATAGGAGCACCCCTTCCCCCAAATAAGAGCACCCCCTCCCCCAAATAAGAGCACCCCCTTCCCCAAATAAGAGCACCCCCTTCCCCAAATAAGAGCACCCCTTCCCCAAATGAGAGCACTCCCTCCCCCAAATGAGAGCACTCCCTCCCCCAAATAAGAGCAGCCCTTTCCCCAAATAGGAGCACCCCTTCCCCCAAATAAGAGCACCCCCTTCCCCAAATAAGAGCACCCCCTCCCCATCAGGTCTTAGCATCAAACAATTGCCCCAGAGTCTCAAATAAGTAACCCTCCCTCCTCTTAACCCTCACTTTCTTAATTGAGTAGATTGAGATACAAGGAAATTAACAAATTGGCAGTGGTTTAGCATGGTCTGTACTCTTATCAACAATTCACGAAAAATTTTGACCACTGCGATTCATGACTAATATTGTTGTTGATAAGAGTACAGCTTGTCACCATGCCTAACCACTGTCGATTCTTTTTTTTTTTTATGACAATAGCCAGGGCTTGACACTAACGGTAGCCAACTAGCCTCAGACTAGTAGAAATTGAGTTTTTGCTAGTGGTTGTTTATTTCTACTAGCTTAGGTTTGGCTAGCAAACAAACTGAAATAGTAGTAACATCTAAGTTGTCAATAACCACTTGGCTATAAGTAAGTTGAAAAGTTAGTGTCAAGCCCTGATATTGATGTTAAGATTTCTGATTCATCCATGCTTGAGAGCCAATTAAGGCATTACGCGACAGTTACGTTGATGAGAGCAGCATTGTATGTAGTCTTATCAGCAATGGCCAATTGGTCAATCAGATAGTAAAATTACTGCCAATTGTGGTAAAAACCAGTTTTTATTTTCATGTTGTTTATAACTTTGCTTCAATTCTATGAAAGAATCAGTACCTGTTAATAGTTTCTTAATAAGCACTCTCTTGATTAAGCACCCTCATTTCCAATTAGTGCTCCTGCTCTTAAATTAAGCTGATTTTAACAAGCACCCAGGTTCTTATTTTTAAGGAAATAAATTATGTTATTTTATAATTTTCATGAACCCACTTACCTGCACTGAATTATGATAATCATAGCTTATGGGACTATAGCTGGTTGCGAGTGAGATTGAAAATTGACTGTGGGGATCGATCAACTTTTTATGACTAGTACGTGCCCAGTAAATAATTTCAGTGCCACATTTGGCTTCTTTTATTTGCTGCTATTAATGAATCAATGCCTCGACTGAAGTAATTAACATTATAGGGGATTGATTTATAGATGTACTAATTTATTCATTTTATTTAATTGTTTACTCACTCGCAAAAATGTGTCTGTGTCCTTAGGGTTGGCATGATGGACTGTATTACCTTCTTGCAAAAGGTGCCAATTGTTTGATTGCTGACAATGATGGCAGACTTCCTCTTCATGCAGCAACATACTTCAGCAATGAAAAGTACACAATGATTAATAAATTTTTTAATGTTATAATATTTAATATTTCTTAAGTGCACATTTATGTCTTGCTTATTATAATGCCCAATTATACCTCAGACTCTCATTGATAAACATAATTATTGAATTTTCAAAACTTTTTAAGGCCCTGACTATAAGAGCTGACCCGATATCATTTTGGTACGTGCCAAATTAAGTTTATTTGTAATTCCCAGAAGTGATTAACATGTAACTTCTTCCCATAATTTCCATAAATTAATTATCTTGCAAACAGGTGAAGAGAATACTCAAACTTATCAGGTACAAGTTGTTATCTTGATCTAAATCCAAATTCTTGTAACTATAGTTTACAAGGAAATGTGCAGCAACTTAGAGGGGAGAATTAACAACCAGATCTTGGGAGTTAAACAGTTAAATGTGCCTCTCAGCTCCATTACCCACCTCTGAATAATATAGCATACTAAAGATGGCTGAGGCATTAACCTTCCCTTGAGTGACATGTAGTTAATAGTGGAGTAGTTAATTAGGTAGGTCAATTGGTTAGAGCGCTGGATTGTGTTGTGCGGGGGATTGAGGGTTCGAGCCCTAGCTGGACCAATACTCATGGTCTTAAAATAACTGAGGAGAATTTGCTACCTTTCTATAATATCAAGAAATGGATAGATATTCTAGTCTTCTTAGATATAAGGACAAATAAAACCATAGGTCCCGTCTCCTGGAGGGTTAGGGGTAGGAGACATTAATTTCCCATGCACGAGATTACTGTGTGGTGGATGTCCTTCCTGGGGTTGGATTGTGGGTACAAAGGGGTTAGGTGTCAATTGGGAAAAGTTCTGTTCCTTTCTTCTGCCATTCCCATGGTGAGTAAATGAAATTCCAAATTTCTAATTCTGGGTTGGAGGTGCGATGGCCTCATTGTTAGCAGGCTAGACTTAGAATCAAGTGGTCCGGGTTCAAGCCCTGGCTGGGGACATTGTGATGTGTTCTTGCATGGGCAAGACACTTTGCTCTCACAGTGCCTCTCTCCACCCATGTGTTTATATGAGTACTGGCAAATTTATGCTGCTGGGGGTAACCCTGCAAATTGGACTAACATCCCATCAGGGGGGGGGGGAGTTGAAATGCTCCTATGGTCACTTCATGCTAGGGAAACATGTACTTGCTGTTTAAGTTATTTTTGACATGGAAAGTTGCAATACAAGGTGAGTTGCTCATCTGGTTGGAGCTTATAACTTCAGTTNATTGTGTTGTGCGGGGGATTGAGGGTTCGAGCCCTAGCTGGACCAATACTCATGGTCTTAAAATAACTGAGGAGAATTTGCTACCTTTCTATAATATCAAGAAATGGATAGATATTCTAGTCTTCTTAGATATAAGGACAAATAAAACCATAGGTCCCATCTCCTGCAGGGTTAGGGGTAGGAGACGTTAATTTCCCATGCACGAGATTACTGTGTAGTGGATGTCCTTCCTGGGGTTGGATTGTGGGTACAAAGGGGTTAGGTGTCAATTGGGAAAAGTTCTGTTCCTTTCTTCTGCCATTCCCGTGGTGAATAAATGAAATTCCAAATTTCTAATTCTGGGTTGGAGGTGCGATGGCCTCATTGTTAGCAGGCTAGACTTAGAATCAAGTAGTCCGGGTTCAAGCCCTGGCTGGGGACATTGTGATGTGTTCTTGCATGGGCAAGACACTTTGCTCTCAAAGTGCCTCTCTCCACCCATGTGTTTATATGAGTACTGGCAAATTTATGCTGCTGGGGGTAACCCTGCAAATTGGACTAACATCCCATCGGGGGGGGGGGGAGTTGAAATGCTCCTATGGTCACTTCATGCTAGGGAAACATGTACTTGCTGTTTAAGTTATTTTTGACATGGAAAGTTGCAATACAAGGTGAGTTGCTCATCTGGTTGGAGCTTATAACTTCAGTTTCCATTACATGGAGCTACTAGCTAGGATAATTAAGGTTTCCCCTCTGGGAGCCATGGTAGTGCTAGTCCAATAGAAGGGTATGAAATGAGAGTTTGAGAGTAATTGATTTACATGTCTTTTACCACACAGGTCTCTTGAAGTTCTACTGCAGCATTTGTCATTTCAAGATGTAGATGTGCGAGATAATGAGGTGTGATGTCTTACACATGTGGTCCATCTTTTATATGACCATAATTCACCACATCAAAAGCAGAGTTTTTTAATTCAGTACCATCATAGCAAAAAAGGATAGAAAAAGAGAAAGAAAATTAAAACAGGCTACATGTAAATAACAGTGACATTAACAAAGCAAAAAGGGATTGAAGCAAAAATCAATTTCCTAAACACTGAAATGTTAGTTGATTTTTTTTTTCTGCAGGGAATGACAGCACTTCACTGGGCTGCGTTCCATGGCAGGACAGGTCACGTGAGATTGCTGGTGGAAAAGAAAGCTGATCTTCTGTCACGAGACACAGATGGAAAACTACCTCTCCACTGGGCTGCCCAGGTGTTTAATCCATTTTTAATCCTTTACATTTTAAAGAGTGTAATTCTTAAACCCTTACTCCCTAAAGTCAGTATGTATATTCTCCCTACCTGTTCAGTTTACATTTCCTCTGGTGCTGATGAGGAGAATTTGTTTGACAAACAAGTTCTCTCCTCATCAGCTTTCTCAATTGGTTGATTCAAGGGCGAGACGTACTGTAAGGAGTCACTCTAAATGGTTACGTAATCACTATAATAAACAGAATTGCAGTTAACTTAATTAATGTAGTTCTTGACTACTGCTCAATTTGGAATATTTATTTGTAATTACATTTTACTTAATATTTTCCTCATTGTTTTTCCAATAGAATGGTTATGTGTCAACCTGTCAAGTGATGCTTGAAATGTGTGAGGGTCACAACCTGGTCAATGGAAAAGACTTCTCTGGACGGTCACCCATTCACTTATCAGCTGCAGCAGGACAGTATTGTGTCCTTGTGGAACTGACTGCTGTCCCATTTGCAAATATTGTAGCCTTGGACAATGATGGCAGGTGAGAATTGATCAGAGACTGACATGTATGTAGTAATCTTGTAGTGGGACATGCATATATGACTTTGAATTAATTCATCATTACTTGGTAATCACTTTGATGGCTAACTCTCTGACCCCTAAGGTACTGTATGACTACTACTGTATTTTGAACTTAAAAGTACAGCTTTGTGATAAACCAACTGTACCTATAAGAATGTCATGGTTGATGGTATCAAACTCTTCATTGTCCAGGAACTAATCTCCTTATCAGTCTATTTTTGCAAACTTTTGCCAGAGAAAAAATTGAATTAACATAATGATTTCTTTATTTTCATGTGATAGAACCCCACTTCACTGGGCAGCAGCCACAGGGCATGCTTATTGTGTTGCTCATTTGCTGAGGCTTGAAAGTGACAAGGAAGCTGAAGACAAACATGGAGGAACTCCATTACAGTATGCTCAACAGGGACACCACTCTGCGTGCTGTCAGTTATTAATGGCCCATGATCCTAGCAATCCTCTTGCCACAGAAGTACCATTGATAAAAGGTAATTCTGCTCTTTTATATATAGTTAGAGCACCTGTGTATCATGTTTATAATTTTCTAGTGAAAGAAGACTACTGTAATTATCTGACTACATAACCTACCTGCAGAAAACAAATTTTAAACCCTGAATTTTATGCACATGAGTGGCCAAGACAGAATTTCTCCTTACAATATCAATTCATTATGGAGCAGATAAGTGATCAGAATAATTAAAGGAAAGTATCAATGGGGTGAGTATATTAGTTGATCCAATACCAAATTTTCCAAACTATCATCCTAAGAATATTGTAGAGCACACAACAAGGAGAATTATTAGTAAGATGTTGGTAGTGAAAGAGTTCAAGTTTCCAATAGAAGTCCTGGTTACTGGAATTTTTTAACAGGGTTTTACCTTGAATCAGAAAAAAAGCAGCCTAATACCTGTCTTGATCTGAGACAAACTCTAACCTTTGTCAACCAATTTTTTTGTCTTTAATTTGGATATATCAACAAAGTTGAAATGGTAAATTGGCCACTGTGACGATTACAAAAGCTGACGTTTTGAGCATCAGCCCTTCGTCAGAGCTCCGCCGAAGGGCTAACGCTCGAAACATCAGCTTTTGTAATCGTTATGGTGGCCAATTTATCATTTCAACTTTGTTGACATATCCAAACTATTTCGTTACCCCCACCGATGCAGCCCCAAACAGTTTCTTTAGAAACTATCAGCCTTTATTCAATTTTTTGTCTGTTCTGCAAAATTTCTGCAGGACACTGACTATATATATATAGTCTTGATTACCATCAACATTGTGGGAAACAGCAATGATACTGATATTAACAACTTGAGTTTCAAGTGCAGAATTTTTGATGGAGGTGTAAAAAATCTCAAGTATCACAACTGGTTAAATGTTAAGGCCCCTTCTGAGAAAGATGTAACTTGTCACAGCATATGCTAGACAGTTGTTTACACTTGGTTTAGGCTAGAGCTGTACTAGCTGAGTTGGATTGAAGTTTTATTAAAGGACTTATAAAATTTCTTGCTATATAGTTATTAACTGTTGTCAACAAGGACCACATGGAATTATTATATACTGCAAAATACTTTCTGACCCTATTCTCTCAGTTTAACAAGCCCTAGGCACGAAAAAAATTAAATATAGTGTTCTTTTGTCTATATCATATTAATCTTTTTTTAATTTCATTGACTTTATATAAGGGTCTCACATTGCAGACTTAATAAGAATTTAAGAATCACATGTAAATGGAAAAAATAGCCAGCTAGGGGATCTGATCTTGAAATGAAAACATTCTATTTATGAAGTTACAATAATTTAAAGATAGTGTAGTGTTTTGGAGACATGTACTCATAGCTAATTAATGTGAGGATGTGTTCTATGTAATTTTGTGACATCCAGTTTTCTTGCTTTTTTTGAAGTTTAATGCATGAAATAATATTCACCCCAAGTGACTTCAGATTTTTATTTCCCTTCAGCTGCCATTTTACCATTATTTCCTTTTTGCTGTTTTTGATATGCAAATTTACACCTGCCTCTTTTCGTACAAATAATTATTGTTCTTAGATATGCAAAAAGACAATTGTCCTCTTGTAAATAGAGGACTTATCATGTAAACTCTGTTAATTGCAACTCATTTTGATGAAACAAAAATTTGTCTTGCCCTATATTTTAAACAGCACTTAAAAAATTCTAGAATGGGTGTTTAATTTTTTATCTCTTTCTTGGCTCTTTTGATTTTCAAAATAGATCTTTTTTTAATCTTGCAAAAAGTGGGCTTCTGTGCTCATTTAATTCATCTTTTGTTTGAGGTTTGTTTGCTGAAGTTAAATACCGTTTGAAATTTGCATTTTAGACAAGATCGAGACAGGTTCTTCACAGTGTGTGGTAGATAAAATCAGTTTGAGATTTGCATGCTGTTTTGAATGGAAGATAGTTCCTACTGATTACATGGTTTGAGTTTACTTTTCAAAATTGGTGAACATTGTCTAATATTGCAGACTGCGTATAAAGTACGGACTTTACTCATTGAGTTTTTAAATATTCTATTTGGTTTATGGTAAGAATGTCTGTTCAGAGGGTAATTATGTTACTTTGAGCATTCGTAGTATAACATCTATGGGTTCTCTAAAGTGATTGTTTTCATGTGGTAATGTGTCAAATACAAGTACACAAATAATCACGATCACCTTACAAGTACATTTTTAGACCGATTGGCCTTTGTGAAACAACAATATTGCAGCATATTGCTGTAGTATTTTTTAAAGAACTTAGTGTAAGTGCTTGCATGGATATTATCTTAGGCTGATATATTTTTTAGCTTTAAAATTGTTCAGTTTTAACATAGCGGAAGCATCAAATGCTGTAACAAATTTCGATTTTTGTGAGTTGCAGGTATAAATATGCTGTGGGTTTTCTTTCACTGTTTAGTCAGGAAGTTGCAGAGACCCACTGGTTAACAGCAGGGTGTGATGTATATTTTATTGTATCTAAAAACTCCTCAAGGTTTCTTCTCAGGCATACAACTGTTTTTGTTGTGTTTTTTTTTTTTTTCACTTGGAAAACTACGTAGAGCTTGATCTTTCATCCTGATGTACAATTTTTAATTTATGAAAAATAGGTATGGGTAATTATGCTTTAACTTTTGGTTCTGTCAAATGTATTAATAATTAAACTTTTTACCTCAGATTGTAATATATGTTATAAATTATAATTGTGTTTTCTAAAGTTGTCAAGTTTATATTTGTCTGTGCCTTAATTTCTTGCCTTAATCTGTAAGTTTGGATGCACCATACACCTTCCACTCTGTTTTTTTTTTTTCAGTCAAAGGCAATAAATTTTTGTATTGTGTCTCAGTGCCAGCATTTTCTGCAAAGTACTCAAGTATATCTAAATTTGTAATAGATTTTCAAATATGTTCCAAATTCTAGTGATTCCAAATATATTTTGAACGTGTCACATGGTGTTAACACATTCAAAGTAGTCTTAAGCTTGACAATTGACTTTTGTCCACAAACACTTAGGTTTTCCACTAATGTATGATCATTTGCAAAGACTTTGCTTTTCTTTTACTGCATCATAAATTTATTAAACACTTCATTTTTTAAAACTATTATTATTTATTAATTATTGCAGAGAATAGAAGATGCACTTTAATATTTTATAACAGATACAAAGTATCTTCCCGTACTGGTCATGAAATTTTGCAATTTTGTGCCAATTGAGTGCAACAAAATTAATATTCTAGCTTTCACCTTGACCTGGCAAACATGATTTATCAAAATATAAACAAAAATGATTTTAAACTTTAGTTGCTCTTAATTTGTTGTACAACATGTCAACTAGTTTTTTTTAATTTTTTTAATTTTTTATCACCATTAGTGAGTGACTAATTGACTGCAGAAAACAGTTGAAAACAACAGAAGAAATTATATATTTTTACCAAATTTTTGTACTTTTTCTAGTTCCTTTCCATTTATAAGCAAACCTAATTAAGGTCATGAAGGAATTTCTTTCTCTCCCTAGACAGCAAAGATCATAATGTGCTTTTTCAAATTGAGGGTCTTTCTTTTTCTGTTAATTCTCTTTATACTAGAGTCACCTGTAGAAATTCTTCCCGTTCCTGGAAACAGTCGCCATGGATCTGATGGTGTCCAGCTTTTTAATCAGATCCACAATGGAGTGACCAATGGTTTTAATTCCCAGCTTCAAACAGATTGTAGTGATTCAGAGGTGCAAGAAATCCTTGGCGACAGTACGACTGCTGTACAAGTTTTTGTGGAAATGAACGGAGATGAAGAAGATTGCACAGAAGCAGGTTGGGTGCTGATCAACCAGAGTTTGATTTTTTGCCTGTTTCCCTCCGCCTCTAGTTGTGATTCTCAGTAACTTAGAATCATCAACAAATATTATTTGCAGTTTTGAGATCCTCTCGTTGTAACATTGTTATTTATTCTCTAAAATCTTCAAGATGAAAAGGGTACAAAAAATTTTGCATCTTAGTAGGTTTTGGGTCTGTGTCCAGAAGTCATTAAGGCACCATGTTATTTCTTTAATGGCATATTGTTATTTTTGTTTATTTGTTTTTAATGAAGTTCATGTTACTTTGATTTTGTTGATATTTTCTTTGATTTTGTTGATATTTTCTTTGACCGCCTCCCGGTTATATTAGCTCAAGGGATAGAGCACTGGACCGTTGTGTGGGAGGTCGAGGGTTCGAGCCCCGGTCGGACCAACGTTCAAGGTCTTAAAATGATTGAGAAGAATATGCTACCTTTCTATGACATCAAGAAATGGTTAGATATTCTAGTCTTCTCGCGTAGGGACAAATAAATGGAGGTCCTGTCTCCTGCAGGGTTAGGGGTAGGAGACGTTAATTTCCCATGCACGAGATTACTGTGATGGATGTCCTCCCCTGGGGTGGGATGG